GTGCGAATGACATACGGGAAGGTCTCACTACCCCCACCCGTCCCACGCTGAACCAACCACTCACGGAGCTGCTGGGGCGACTGCTGTCGCTGACCACCACCAGGGCCTCCATGCCGAGGTCCAGACCTGCCACCACTAGTCCCACCGCCTCCACTGCCGCCACTCCCTCCGCTGCCTCCACCGCCACCACCAGAGCCCCCACTGCCGCCACCAGTCCCACCACCGCCACCACCTCCACTGCCTCCACCACCTCCACCGCTGCCCCCACCACCGCTCCCACTGCCATCTCCACCACCACCGCTGCCACCTCCACCACCCTGGCCACCCTTGCCCTTGCTGCTGCGGCGCTTCGTACTAGTCGAAGCAGCACCGACGTCCTCAGTAACAGAGACGTCTGCAGCAGCAGAGGTGAAGGAGGGGGAAAGGGGGGAGGGGGAGCACCCCTCAAAGAAGGGCGGGCGCGGAGTGCCACAAGCACCACCTACAGGAGATGCGAGGAGATGGTACTCGAGGAGGTCAACGGTGAGGGAGGTGGGGTCGAGGGAGAGAAAGTTGTCACTGACAGAGCGAAGAGGGTCAGAGAGGCGAGAGACCATGAAGTAGAGGGTGATGAACATGGGGGGCTGGTTCGTGGCAAGGAACTCAGCAGGGACGGTACCGCGGTAGCGAGCGTCGCTAGTGCGCAGGTGGGTAACAAGGTCCGCTACTGTGGCAAAAGTCGACGGCTCAGGGAACAGGTAGGGCAGTAGCAATCTGCCTAGAGCAGCAGTGGCAGGGGAGGAGTGGCGAGCAACGACAGCGTTGTACAGGGCCTGTGATGTCCTGTGGTGTCCAAAGTGAGTACATTAGGCCACCGGCAGGTGGTTGCGAATGGCTAAGCGGGCAGTAGCGTCACGAGACAGCCACTGGGAACGAGTCCCACCGTCAGCTTTGGCGGGAGGGGCTGGAGCGACACCGGAGACGTGGTCAAACAGTGAGACACTGTCCTTAATATCGCTCAGTAGGTACAGTTGCAGATCGTCGTGCCACGTGTCAAATGCAACCGGTCTGCCGTCATGATCGAACGCCAGAACTCTAAGCGAAGCCATAGTGGCGCAGCACTCAGGAGCAGCAGTAGCAGCAATAGCAGCAGGAGCAGCAGCAGCAGTAGCCAAGGGGCCAAGGGGCGGGGCCGAGGGGCCTAGGGGCCGAGGGGCCAAACACGAGGGTGGCGGGGCCGAGGGGCCGAGGGGCCAAGGGTCCTAGGGGCCGAGGGGACTTGGGGCCGAGGGGCCAAGGGGCCTAGGGGCCGAGGGGCCGAGGGGCGGGGCCGAGGGGCCAAACACGAGGTCGAGGGGCCAAGGGGCCTAGGGGCCGAGGGGCCAAGGGGCCTAGGGGCCGAGGGGCCAAACACGAGGGTGGCGGGGCCGAGGGGCCGAGGGGCCAAGGGGCTGAGGGGCCGAGGGGCTAGGGGCCGAGGTAGGGGCGACGGGGCCGACGGGCCGAGGTGGCCAATCTAGGGGCGACGGGGTCGACGGGGCCAAGGGGGGGGGGCGAGGTGACGGTGCCGAGGGGCCGAGCTAGGGGCGACGGGGCCGACGCTAGGGGCGACGGGGCCTAGGGGCCGAGGGGCGCGGCTAGGGGCGACGGGGTCGACGGGGCCAACGGGGCCGAGGGGCGCGGCTAGGGGCGACGGGGTCGACGTGGCCAAGGGGGGGCCGAGGCGACTGGGCCGAGGGGCCGAGCTAGGGGCCGACGCTAGGGGCAATGGGGCCTAGGGGCCGAGGGGCGCGGCTAGGGGCGACGGGGTCGACGGGGCCAACGGGGCCGAGGGGCGCGGCTAGGGGCGACGAGGCCAACGGGGCCGAGGGGCGCGGCTAGGGGCGACGGGGTCGACGGGGCCAACGGGGCCGAGGGGCCGAGCTAGGGGCGACGGGGTCGACGGGGCCAACGAGGCCGAGGGGGCGCGGCTAGGGGCGACGGGGTCGACGGGGCCAGCGGTGCCGAGGGGCGCGGCTAGGTGCGACGGGGTCGACGGGGCCAACGGGGCCGAGGGGCGCGGCTAGGGGCGACGGGGTCGACGGGGCCAACGGGGCCGAGGGGCCGAGCTAGGGGCGGCGGGGTCGACGGGGCCACGGCTAGGGGCGACGGGGCCGACGCTAGGGGCGACGGGGCCAACGGGGCCGAGTGGCGCGGCTAGGGGCGACGGGGTCGACGGGGCCAACGGGGCCGAGGGGCGCGGCTAGGGGCGACGGGGTCGACGGGGCCAACGGGGCCGAGGGGCCGAGCTAGGGGCGACGGGGTCGACGGGGCCAACGGGGCCGAGGTGCGCGGCTAGGGGCGACGGGGTCGACGGGGCCAACGGGGCCGAGGGGCGCGGCTAGGGGCGACGGGTTCGACGTGGCCAACGGGGCCGAGGGGCGCGGCTAGGGGCGACGGGGTCGACGGGGCCAACGGGGCCGAGGGGCCGAGCTAGGGGCGACGGGGTCGATTGGGTTGCGGCTAGGGGCGACGGGGGGTGGGGGGGGAGCCGAGCTAGGGGTGGCGACGAACCGGGGCCTAGGGGCAACGGGCGCAGGCCTAGGCTAGCAGGGCAGCAGGTGGTGGGCCCAAAAAAAACAGACCGGTCCTAGGGGACCTGCTCTGAAACCATGTTAGAATGTTGTGAACGAGAATGAATAAACTATGAAACAGTTGGGTACAAGTACTAACCCTAATTGGGTTGTACCCCTTATGGGCTACCCCACTACAGCCTACACAAATGTATAAGCTGTAATGTTCTGACAATAATACTCATGGAGCTTGATCGCCCCCGAGATAAACCGCGTGTACGAATCGTACCAAGCATATCCTTTGATCGCCCTGGTGGTAACCGTTATGCCTACCTGGTCAACATTATTGCGTGAATGGTAATGAACAGTGCATTTCGAACTCCAAACTGGTAACTGATAATTTCAACCGTAGTGTACACCATACATACTGACTATAACTCGGCAAAACGGTAATCGATAAGAGGAAATGTTTCGTGTTGTAATAAATTTCGATGTATATCCCGAACATGTGAGTCTGAAATGAAAACAATTAAGGATATTCATATTTTGTTGACATATTATTGTTGCACTATATTGTATGAACCTAAAAACTCATATGAAAATAATATATACATATATGTAATACTATTGATATTATATTAATGTAACACTTCGTCTATGATGCTATAATATAATAAATATATTGATATAAATTCACTACTATTACAGTTATCTAGACATCATATTCATAAGATTTTTGGGGTTCCTAAACCCCATTGCAACAATAATCTGTCACCAAAATGTAAGTATTATTTGTTGTTTTCATTTCAGAATCACATCTTCAAGTTATATATGTAAATTTATTACAATGCGAACCATTTTCTCTTAACGATTACCATTTTTCGAGTTATAGTGTGTACGTATGGTGTTCACTACGGTTGAAATGATCGGTTACCAGTTTGGAGTTCGAAAGCACTGTTCATTACCATTCAGTCAATAATGTGGTCAGGTAGGCATAATGGTTACCACCAGTGCGATCGTAGGATACGATTGTTAAGATTTGTACACGTGGCTTACCTAGGGGGCGATCGAGCTCCAGGAGTGTTACCGCTAAGGTAAATGCCCAACTATCTAGGGTTTAGGGTGATGAACTCACGTGATGTCAGCAAAATTATGAGCGCATTCCGTCCGCCTCACGCCACGCCTCTGGCATCTCAGTTCAGAACAGACCCTTTCTGTACGGATTCTCATCCTCAGGTTCCACCAGGAAGACTGAGGGAGGGATGGGGCCCGTTGAACATGGAATGCGTTGTCTTGGCGGGGTGTGCGCGCGATGCATGCCATGGGATGGGAAGGAAGGTTGGGCTGTGTGAAGGATAGACGGGCAATAGAGGGAGCCACGACTCGCGAAACAAGAACAGTCACAGTGCGCATACTCAACGGTGAATGTCTGTTCGGTGCGTTCGGGTTCGGTTCAACGGGGTCACGGACAGGACAGATTTGTCGGGCATGGAGTGTTGAGCCATGCGAGTGTGGCGAGGTGAGACGACCCCATGCCATTGCTGACGTGACGCGACAGTGGTGCGGAGCGTCATGCTCATTAACGTCGTTGATACTTCGGTCATCCATGGCGCATGTCCGCTGATACTATCATGATACTTCCCTTCCCCAAGATACTCATCATACAGTGTCTCTTGGGCCTTGAACGATCATTGCAGATACTTCCGCTCGGCCCCTCGGCAACGCGCAGCGTTTCGCGCCAGCCGTAGATGTACCGTAGCTTCATCCATCGAACGGCCAGATTTTCGTTAGCACGACACCCTTCACGCCATGACGCCGAGATCCCGATTCCCGACTTGCCTGTACTGTTACTAGCACTGCTGCACGGGGTGTTGCATGACTCGCCATGGGGCAGGCATCAGCGGTCACATGGCGGCATTCTTGTCTCCAAGGACACACACACGCACAGACAGACAGGCAGCCTCGCCTCGCCTCGGATCGTTTCGGAGCTCAGAGCCGCGCCACTCAGAATTCCGAAGTGTCAACTCCAACTCAGCATCGCAATCGATTCCCTTCACGGCTTTGCTCCGCGCAGTTGCGTTCCGCGCTTCCTCTTTCCGCCGGGAAGCTGTCCTGGTTCCTTTCAGACACTGCCGCTCGTGCGAGCACAGCGCATCACAGCACATCATCAGCAGAAGCAGCAGCATTCCGCTGGCATTCCGCTCGAATAGTCGTCCTCGTACCTGGCAGCAGCAGAAGCATTGATTACTATCAGCGATCGTCCCACTAGTCCCAGCTGTTACCGCGTAGAGATTTCTCTGAAGAGTGACTCCAATTTCGCCTCGTTGTTTAAGGCGATAGTACCGTTCCATAAGATCTCGTCCTTGTCAGAACGCCCTTTTCCAGCGTTATCAGCGGCCCTTTTCCATTCTTGATTCATCCCAGTTTCGCAGCGATAAAGCTAAGGACGGAAGCAGACGCTTTTTTCCAATGATGGTCATTCCCCTTCGTTCGCGCATCGACCCAGTTTCGTCTGAACCAACCGCACCCTGCGGCGACGACCTCGCTTCCACTTACCGCGTTTCATCAGAATCAGCGCCGCTCTTTCTGGTTGCACGAGCGCCGCTCGATCATCTCCTTTCCGCCGCTCACGAGCAGCATTTCCCGTGGCCGCAGCGAGCCGCATTTCCCCTCATGGCGGATGTTCCTCCACGCCGCGCCGACAGTCGCCCTACCGCGGCCAATGCGACGGCGGGTCCAGCGGCGGCGGCGACGGCGACTCCAACGGCGCCGACGTGGGACTTTCTCACGGTGCACACGCAGCGCGCATTGAAACGGCGACACAGCGAACAGGACGAGTGCGACGAGCGCGACAAGCGGGACGAGCGGGATGCGCGGCGCAGCACCAATGGCGATGACCCAAGCCGTCTCATGTCGCTCACGCTCGCCAACTCCTCTGTTCACCCCGCGCGCCCCTGCTCCTCCGCCCACCCCGCGCGCCCCCGCGCCAATGACGACGGCGCCGTCGTCGCCGCAAACCCCAGCCTGCAACCCCTCCCCGGTCTAGCAGGACCAGTTACCCCCCCGGCGGCTTTCCCGCCGAGCCACCAACCCGGCGCATTTTCCGGCCTGGAAAGTCACGGTCACGGTCTCGCCCCCATTTGTGCCACTCCCGCTTCGGTTTCAGCTTCTCACGCTGTCTCGCTCCATCCGAGTCCTGCCACGTTTCCGCCGCCGCTGCCTGCGCTCTTCACACTCCGCCAGGCGTCAATGCCCCGCGGTGCGCTGCTGCCTCTGCCCGAGCTGCTCCTGCCCGGCCTGCCACGTGGCGGCCCAGGGATTGGCTCTCTGTCCGAGGCTCTTTTCCGCCGTCTGACGGGCTTGACTGGGTTGACCGGCATTACGGGATTGACTGGCTTGCCTCGCGCTACTGGCGCGACTGGCGGAAGCGGCGGTTTTTCGTGCGCCCTGTGCGGGCGCACATTCCCCACGGTGCACGCGCTAGGGGGTCACAAGAGCATGCACCGGAAAGGCGTGCACCGCGCGCACACCAGCGCCACCAGCACCTCCAGCACCAGGAATGGCGGCAGCGGCAATGTGAGCAAGAATAAGGGCTGCGGCAATGTGAGCAAGAATAAGGGCTGCGGCAGCAGCAGCCGTGGTGGGGCTCCCAGTGGCGGAGCGAGGCCTGAGCTGCCATCGCCAGCACGCTTCCTTAAGAGGTGCAAGGTCACTGCTGCTGATGTTGATGATGCCAATGCTGCTGCCGACGCTGCCGCCGATGCTGCTTCCAATGCTGTTGCCGACGCTGCCGCCGATGCTGCTTCCAATGCTGTTGCCGATGCTGATGCCAATGCCGCTGCCGATGCTGCTGCTGATGCTGCCGATGTTGATGCTGCTGCTCAAACCTCTCATGCAACGCGAGGAACCGACACTGCTCACCAGGAACCCTCAGAGCGCTCTGCAACCGAAGGCGGCAATCCAGCCAAAGCGTCCCCTCTCACCCCGCCTGTCACGCCCACAAACGAGGAAACCGTGCCGGCCTCATGGCCCAAGGCAGGGGGTGCACTGGGGGCAGCAGAGACGAGCGTTCAGGCTGACCAGATCCCTCGGGCTGCAGGGACGGGCCGGGGAGAGACAGGCACACTTGCAGGAGATGTGGGCGAGCAGGTGGTGGGGGAGAGTGGCGGGGCGTGTGAGAAGCACATGCGGGTGCAGCTGAAGCAAGCCATCAAGGAGCGCCTGGTGCAAGCACACCTGCTACAAGCACGCTTGCTACAAGCACGCTTGTCACAGCCACGCCAGCTGCAGACACGGCAGGCGCTGCACCATGGGGGAGGCAAGCACACGTCCTGTTCGGGCGCCGGCGTTGCTCCCTGGTCGCCACCAGCACTGGTTCTTGAGGCAGCTCAAAGCACCTCATGCTTGCAGGGGAGAGGCGCACCCGCTTCATTCTCTCCTGCTGCCATTGCGGCATGCTCGCCAACAGCTTTGTCCACCACGAGTGGTGCCACAGCAGGGCCTGTGTGTGCGTCTGACTTGAACCTGCCACCCGCTGATGTGGCAGGAGGCGTGGTGAGCGAGGCAGGGGGAATGGACACCGAAGCAGTGATAATGGTGAACGAGGATGCGGATCTTGCATTGGCTGCACTGGCGATCGAGTGTGAGGCACGGGAGGCGCGGGAGGCGGGGGATCTACCTTCCTCTGATGAATGCATGGACGAGGCTGACACTCGTACCGCCCCTAATCCGGGCTGCACTGCACAGGGAGATTTCCCTGGCACAGCATGCCTTGCGGGTCGAGATGCCAGTGCTGCTGGCGCCTCTGGGAATGCTCTTGGGATTGCGCGGGATGCGGTGTTTCTGTTCGCTTGCAACCTGGGGGCTGAGAAGGTTTTTTGTGCTAATGATGTTTTTGCTGCTAACAGCAGTAAGCTGGACGGTGCGGATAGTCGGGCCGGGTGCTTAGACTTAACCTTGCACCTATGAATAACGGAATCGAGATTCCACTCAGTCAAGTTAACCATGAGTTGAAAGCAGCTCCATGCACGAAGGGATTGTAGGGTGGTCCGTTTTTAATGGCCTCGAGGCTCCCGAATTGGGACGCTAGGTCACACCAAATGAGGGTTCTAGTCTAGTTCTGATGATCAGCCTTCTTCATTAATATTGATTACAGCATCACTGTTGGATGTCAGGCACATCCAGTTTATACACCTTTTCCCCCTTGTCAGAGTGGGTTAAATGCTAAGCGGTACCTTACCTCACTTTGCCCGATTTCAAAAGCCCTGGTTTGGAGAATGTTTGATTTGATAGTGCATAGAATAAAAGTACAAGATAGGCAGTCACCTCATCAACATGATATCCCATATTGCCGATACCGTATATCCCTGAGCTCAGCTAAGGATCTACAGCAGATCAATACACTAGTGAAAAGGAATTTATGCCTACAGCAACCCATCGGATTTTGGGGAAAAACAAAAGAGAATGATTTCGGCAAACCGCAATTTTATAGCAGAGAGAGGCCATGTGAGACGCTGGTCTCCAGGGAGCCTCAAAATTACCCGATCGATATCTGGAGTACTGTACCTGTGACCCATGCACGGCACCTCATCGTAGATTTCAAGGGTCATCATTTTCACAGACTCACTGAGTCACCCCAAGGGCCTAGCTGCACCAAGTCTGGAGCACGTTCGACCCTAAGCGAGATTATCATGACGCTCCTGTCGTCGTGGCTGCCCTTGTCGTGACGACAGCTTCAAAGCATGTAGTGTGCCAACGAGATGACCATGACGCTCGTGTCATCATGGCTGCCTCGTTTCCCGGCAGCTTCCACCAGCTTTTGACACGCAAGCAGCAGCGCAGACTTCACCGACTCTTCGGTCCCCTGCGCCTTGGCTCGCGAACCAGCTTCCGCCTCTCCGCCCTCCGTCTCACTCCCCTCGCTCCCCTCACCTTCCTCGCTGCCCTCGCTGACGTCATTCCCGCAGTCTTCGCTGCTAGATGACACATCAGAATCCTCGGCCGAAGGGCATGCAGTGATATCCGGGACGTGGTTGTCCCCTTCTTGGGCTGACTCGGTAACCTGTTTTAGACTCCCGACAGCAAAAACGCTGCTGGTACGCTCTCGGGGTGTTTTTAGGGCAAATGGGTTGAGCCTGCCATTGGAATCGGCATCCGGGGAAGGTGTTGTGAGGCCGTCGTCAGATGCGGATTCTTTGCCGTCGGAGTTGAGAGTGAGAGACGAGGATTCGGTGGAGGTGGAGGAGAAGGAGGGGATGGTGGAGAGCGAGGAGTTGGCGGAGGGAGGGTTGTTGCGCTTGAATGCCTTGATCTCGGCTTCGAGGCATGATCGGGCGATGTCGACGGCTTCTTGATTGGTCACCTGAAAAACCAGGGGAAAAAGAGGAAAGTGAGTGGATGAGCAACAAAGAAATATTAAATCTTTGGTCTCTAGATCTCGAGGCATAGATTGACGGGAAAGTCGGTGTTGGGAACAAGTCAGGTGTGGGTAAGGACTTACGACATCCCAGAGTCCATCTGATGCCATAATCAGGAAATCGCAGTCTCTCGTAACGGGTACATAAACCACCTCCGGTTCCGATGTGATGTACTCCTTATAGTTTGCATCGCCAAGACCTCGTGTAACAGCCAGCACTCCCTGCACGCGCCAAGTTCCCGTGAAATTATCTACGTGTCCTCCCAGGTTTTCGATTCTGTCTCGCTCGTCTTCCCGTGACGCCTTGTGATCTGACGTCAGCACACTGGCAGCGCCCTTTCGGCAGAGCACGGCGCGGCAGTCGCCTGCATGTGCCACGTGGATCGAACCAGGGGCAGCCCAGCACGTCACGACAGCCGAACCGCTGCCCAGATTCTGCGGAGACACATCGCGAGGGAAGTTGACGGTTTGGATTAGATTCGTTTTTAGCGGGAGGCCAAAAAAACGGGTTAGAGAGGAATCCATTTGCGTGTCTTACCTGTTGAAGAAAGTGTTTATCGGTCTCCTTGAAGCCCTCCACCAGAGCCGCTTCTGGGCTCTCCGCGCCTTGTTGTGCCGCTTTCAAAACGTTACCCGCGATGTTGCCTGCCGCGAATCGCGCCGCCATGGTGCCACCGTGGCCGTCGAACACGCCGAAGAAGGCCTGGGGTCGACAAATGCGAGAGGTACGGGCATCAGGTGAGGTTGAGCCGTGGAACCAGACTGATACAAGCATGCGGGCATACAGCGACGGATGATGTAGGGAAGCGGAAGAGGGGTTGGGGTGGGCGAGAAGTGAGTCCAGGAGGGAGGGGAAAGTGGGATGGGAAGGGGGGAGGGAGTGGAGGGTGTGGGGGAGGAATAGGGCAAAATAGGGCATGCACGCGTCAGTGCGCATTGCGCGCACTCACATTTCCGGGCGACGTGCCGAACTGCGGGATGGCCTGGTAAGCATCCTCCATGAACTCGCGCCGTCCTTTTTTGCACATCACGGCGTACGAGTGACCCACCGCCACAAGCTCGCTCGCCTCCTCCGCCTCCTGCGCGCGCGTGCTTCGCGGCGTATTTCCCGGCGTGTTTCCCGGCGTCGTTGTCGGCGAAGCGGTAAAAGAGTCCTTCGCGGGGATGTTGAGCATGGGTGGTCGTTTTCGCTTCAACCGCGGATTTTCGTCGCGTTTGCGCAACGGCGAGGCGACTTTTCGCGAAAAAAGCGGCGAGCTCGGGCCAGCCTCCGACGAGCAGAGTCGCAGGCGACTGAACTCGCGCGACGTCGGCAGTCGCAACTTGGGGCTGATGATCTCGGGCTCGTCGCACGTGCGACTAGCGCTGCTGTTGTTACGCGACAGGCAGGCGCTGCTTCCCTGGCTCGCTCGGTCCCAAGGTGAGTCGCCAGCGCAGGCGGCGATCGCAGAGTCGCTGGAGCGAATTGCCGACGACAATGCGACATTGCTCGTGTCCGAGAAGAGGCTGCGCGAACGCGGGCAGGGCCCATGCGGAGTGTCGCAAACGGCATGAAAAGCGGGGAAGGACGGGGCAGATAGCTGGCTCAGAAGCACCGCGGACTTTTGCATCGCGTTTGAGCTGAGCGATCGGCCCGGCTTGGCCTCCGATTGGAGGTCGGTGCTCAAGGAACGTCGCTTATGCTCCCTCATTGTGATCAGGGGAATTTCTGATGCGAGTACGTGAAGAGTTTTTGCGGTAATAAGCGTGCTATTCGAATCAAGGAGTGCTTGACATGTGCTGGTCCTGGAGACTTGGAGATGGGAACTAAGATTTCAGCATGGAAATTGGTTACTGCAGGAAGGGTTCCTGGTAAAAAGCAGTCATGAGTGACGAAGGAAACATGGAGATCGAGATAATTGAGCTGGAAAGCTATGGCTGTTGGGCGCGGAAGTGGTATGGTAACGCGTAGGGAGTACTAGCCAATGGAAGAAATCTTTGGAGCGAGCAAGCAGAGCTTGAGCAACAGTAGGAAAGAAAGTGTAGGTATAGGAGACGCGTTGAGAGTGAGAGAGAGCAGAACACACAAGCGAGTGCTGCCCAAAGTTCGGCGGTTCGGGCCAGCCTGCCAATGAATCTCTCCTCCATGGATCGCGCAGGAGAAGAACTCACCACGAATCATGCTAGCCACATCTAAACTGTAAATGCTCGAAACCATATATATCGAGACTCTAGTTAGCTCTGTGAAGTTCGGATAGCCTCATGTTTTGTTAAAACTTTGCAGCATGCAGTGTGCAGTGGCATCCCGCCTTCTCGGCTCCCAAAGTTCGCAGAATAATGCATCTTTTCTTCCCACGCATTCGGATCCCAAGTTTCAGAGCAGCCACAAGGGTGATATGCTTAGGTTTCCTTGCTGCCTTCTCTTTTCTAAATGGACAACTCCTTTTGCTGAATTTAAATTTAATATTCACCCTACTTCTGCAACGGGTGATTTGAGGAGACATCTCCTTCTCAACCAACAACGGATGGATCTAGGGTTCGCCGTTCCAGACATGCGGATTGGAGCTTGGGTTGGTTGGCAGGTCTGTCCAAACCATTTGCGTGATCAGCGGGCCGATTAAAATTCGGCAAACCTCAATATCTTTCAATTAAAGATACAGTAACTCTCCAACTGTGCCCAAGCTCAGAAATTACATGCCCCAAAAAGAAACGAGCTGGAATCCCAGATCAACCGATGACCCACAAATTGCGGAGCTCAGGCTAAATGTTTCTGCGTTTCGAGTGGCGCAAGCCTCAGTCTCCACCACCTTCCATGCTCAAAGACACGGCAGGCAGCAAGCGTTAATCTGGTACCGTTCAAACCCAAATCAACGGTGGTCGCTCATGCAAACTCACCCCACAAGATGACACTTCCTTACCTACTCGAATAGTAACAGATTATTCTGACAGCTGTTCTCAGGCTGTTCTAACAGACGTGAGGATGCGGTCAAAAAGTGATTTCATCAATTGGTGCAGTTTTCCATGCATGCTTGGCAAAGCGGATGCCCTTTCCGGCCCAGCATTTTTCGGGTGGTTGCTCCAAAATGGAGTATACACCCATTGTCCCGCCATAATGGATTTCGTTTTAGTGAAGTCAAGAGAGTAAAAGCATGGCTATATTATGTTTCGGTATGGTTCATTTGGGCAAATCGAATAAGAGAAGATGAGCCAGCCAGTTCCGGAAACTTCTGTATAGCACGCAACAGGGTGTATCAATTTGGGATATAATAACCTTTACAGGCGGAGTCGTTACTGCCTCACATCACTCTGCCTCATATTATGTGTTGGCATCATGCCACACAATTCTGTGGGATATAGTCAATATAGCAGCTAAAGTTGTTGGAATAACCGAACGGTTATTATCGCATTCCCGAAGGCTCTCTTCTGACGCGCCACCTCATAGCGAAGCAGAGCTACTGTACTAGTACCGCAATAGCTCATATAAAGCATGCGGCAGTTCGACAGTCACCCGAAGGACAACAGTCGCTGACAGTCAACGGTCGCGACTGTTGACCGTCCAGCAACCGCATCAGAGGTTACGAGATGCAACATGGTAACTGTCGAGAATGACAATAATCGCATTTACTATAGCTATGCAATACAATTAATAAGGGAATGTACCCCTCAGAGTACATGGCTAGCTATATGGCTATTCATACCCTTGTATCTCTATCTTAAAACCATATTGTCTTTTTTTCAATTATTATCAACAAGATCACTTCAAAGACTCCATGTCTTTCTATAACTTGGAAGTCTTATCCTATCCACTACGATTCCCGGATTATATCAACAAATGTAACTTAGGGGGAACCATAACTTGGAGTAGGGAGAGAGACGAGAGAGAGAAGAGGGGGTTTTGTCAAAGTACAATCTTACTTAAAGGCTATACTGGGGCACTCCTTATGGGGTATAGCACTTCTAGGGTTAGTACTTGTACCTCAACTCTAGCTGATCCAATCATCCCTGCGCAATTATTCAGACATGGTATTCAGAGCAGGAAACCTGTTAAGTTTTTAGGGCCCACCGATAGTTCCGCTCATTCCTGCCCGAAGCGCCCTTCCGCTGTCCGGCCCTGCTCGCACAGTGTCGCGCTGCCCTGCAGCTACTCGCACTGCCTGCCCCCCGCACGTCGCGCCCTGCTGCAGCCTGCGAGTCGCGCCCTGCTGCCCTGCCCAGCGCGCGCTGCCCTGCCCTGCCGCCCGCGCCCAGCTGCCCTGCAGCCCGTGCATCGCGCTGCCCTGCCCTTAGGCCCGCGCGCCGCCCTGCCCTGCAGCTCGCGAGCCGCACCGCCCTGCCCTGCAGCACAGCGCGTCGCGCCCTGCTGCCCTGCCCAGCGCGCACCCCACTGTCCTGCGCGTCGCGCCCTGCTGCAGCCCGCGCGTCGCGCTTTGCTGCAGCCCTGCGCGTCAAGCTCTGCTGCTCCGCGCGTCGCGCCCTGCTGCAGCCCACACGTCGCGCCTTGCTGCCCTGCGCATCGCGCCCTGGTGCAGCCCGCGCGTTGCGCTCTGCTGCTCCGCGCGTCGCGCCCTACTGCAGCCCGCGCGTCCCGCACTGCTGCCCCGCGCATCGCGCTCTGCTGCCCCGCGCGACGCGCCCTGCTGCCCTGTCCACCGCACACCCTGCCCTGCAGCCCGCGGCGCGCCCTGCCTTGCCCAGCCGCGTCGCCCAGCCCGGCCGAGCCGCGCCGCCCAGCCCGAGCCGCCCTGCCCAACCCGAGCCGCGCCGCCCTACCTCGATCACCAGCCCCACCGAGCCGCCCTGCTGCTACTACTGCTGCTGCTGCTGCTCGTGCTACTGCTGCTGCTGGTGGAGGTGCTGCTGGGAGTGCTGGAGGTGCTGTTGGTGCTGGAGGTGCTGGAGGTGCGACTGGGAGTGCTGGAGGTGTTGCTTGTGCTGGAGGTGCTGGACCTACTACTGACCGTCACTGCCTGTCATGGCCACTATCACGGCAGTTGCAGCGGCTAGGGGTGAACAGCAGCGGTCGCTGCCTCTCCTGGACGACCCCACCCCTCAGCAGCTTCGTGAGTGGGTTATTCAGCGAGCCCGGTGGTGGAGGCTTTGGTTTTCTGCGTATTGCAAAGAGGCGGCAGCAGAGTCAGTAGGAGACCTTCTCCCTGCAGCTACGTAGTGAGTTGGTTTCTCAGCGATGTGTCACTGGTTCTGTAGAGGCTGCTGCTCTTGGTGCTAGTGAGTCTGCTGCCGCACTCGGTGCTATTGAGTCTGCTGCCACTCTAGGTGCAAGTGAGTCTACTGCCGCACTCGGTGCTAGTGAGTCTGCTGATGCTCCAGGTGCTAGTGAGTTTGTTGCAGCTTTAGGTGCTCATGCGTCTACCGCAACAGGTCCTGGCTCAACTGAGGCCTTGCACACTTTCACACTTGACTCAGGCGCGTCACGTTGCTTCTTTCGCGACTACAACACACTCATACCACTTGCTGCATCGGTACCAGTCTCACTGGCTGACTCCACTGGGGGCCCAGTAGTCGCACAAGCCTCCACTGTCCTCCTGTGTCCAACAATCCCCTCCGGTCCTCTGTCAGGTCTCCACCTTCCGTTCTCGACGAACTTGGTGAGCAACGCTGCCATTCAGGATGCCTGGGTTGACACCTTTATTCCTGGAGGGCAGCGTGTGGCCATCTGTACGTGCTCCGGACTGGCCGTCACCTAGCTACGTTCACTCGATGGCTTGGGTCTAGTCTGTACACACTGACCACTGCGTCTGCATAGGTGGCTGAGTCAGGTCAGGTGGATGCGTCGAGTCAGGTGTCTGCGTCTGGTCAGCTTGCAGCGTCTTGCTCGTGTCGGGTACTCTCCCACCAGACTCTCCTCTGGCACCACCGCCTCGGTCACCCCTCACTGCTGCTTCTCCGCAGCATGCACTCCCGTCTCCTTGTCTCTGGGCTTCCCAGGTCCCTGCCCTCCCTCCCGCGCTCGCCTTCACCGCCCTACGTTCCCTGCGTCGAGGGGCGGCAACGCGCCGCTCCCCACTCCTCTGAGTTTCCTCCGACCACTGCTCCTCTGCAGACTCTCCACATGGACGTTTGGGGCCCGGCCCCCGTTGGTGGAATGGACCAGGAGCGCTACTTCCTGCTGGTTGTTGACGACTACACACGCTACACCATTGTCTTCCCCTTGCGGCACAAGGCGGACGTCAGCGGT